GCCCAGAGATCAAAAAACGTCGGCCAAAATTCCGGCGTGAAGAGAGGGAAAAACCCGAGGGGAGGGCCCAGACCTACCCTACCTACCCCGTCATGAGTGCCGCCCAAGCAAAAAGAATCTACACCTGCCGTGGCTGTGTTTTTGTGGGACTATAGGATAGTGGGGTCCTCAGGACAATCGGTACGTATCTGGATTGTGCATGTGATGTGCATGTGTACAAGGGTCGCGCGGCTCACAGGCCACAGCGCACGGGCGCCACAGGGGCACCTCTGATGTGTCGCGCGTACTAAGCGTGTACGCGCGTGTGCACACACGAGGCGACCAAGCCGGCATATCCCGCCGCCGCACCAAGCAGCTCCCGCGTCCGTCGGTTAGAAGACGTCGACGCAGTTGAGGTCCGAGAAGCACTGGCCGAGCCGTGCGACCGTGGTCTCTTCGGCGGACCGCACCGGCATGCGCGGGTCGTAGAACTTCTTGTTTGGCTTGTCGTGGCCCTCGGGGTTGCCGATCTGGCTCTGCAGGTAGGCGCGGTTCTCCTCCGAGTAGGACCGGATCCCGTCCCAGTACGCCCACTGCGTGTCGGTGTCGATGTTCATCTTGATCACGCCGTACGAGATCGCCTCCTGCGCGGCCGGGGCGGGCGAGGGGTCGGACGAGAGGGCGGCGGGGAGGCGGGGCGGGGCGAGCCGCGCCTTGATGTCGTTGATGTCGGAGCCCGAACCACCGTGGAAGACAAAGGAGCAGGGCTTCGCGCCCGCGCCGAGGCCGAGCTGCTGCGAGATGTACTCTTGCGAATTTCGCAGAATCTTCGGGTCGAGCTTGACGTTGCCTACGCCACGTTCACGCCTCTCACGCACGCTGCGCGCGGCATCTCGCGCTCGACGGCCGCCGCCACCGGGCGCGTAGACGCCGTGCACGTTGCCAAAGGCGGCGGCGATGGTGAACTTTGCGTTGGGCACCGCCTGCAGCGCCTTTTGGACCATCCACACCTCCTCGGGCTTGGTGTAGAGGTCCTCCGGGTTCGCATTCTCGTTGTCCACCCCGTCCTCCTCGCCGCCCGTGATGCCTACGCCACACCTCGCCGGCGTGTCGCGGACGTGTCCGGACTGCCGCACCCGTCGCCCTCCTCCGTCTTGGGCTGCCAAGCTCCATCTCGAGCAGCATGTCGAGCTTGGCCATCCGCTGCATGTACTCGACGCAGATGGCGATGTTCTCCTCGAGAGGCTCCTATAGCCGCCACTTTGCAGCAGTTAGCAAGGGCCGACGCAGCCCTCCCGCACCCTTCCCCTCCCTGCCCACTCGCCTCGGACAGGTCGAGCATGTGAGACGAGAAGAGCGGCTCGCCTGTGGGAGATGCCGCGGACACGTCGACATGTGGTGGACGCGGCGGCGCGGCGAGAAGGGAGGAGCTCGCCGTGCGCGGCGTAGTGCGCTTCCGACTCGGCCAGCATCCCGTCCACCCAAGGGAGGAGCTTCTTGGCGCAGTGGTCTGTGTGCAGGATCACCGGCACGCCGTATTTGGCGGCGAGCGTGCGCACGTGGTGAGCGCCAGACACCGCCCCAGCGACGGCCGCGTCAAAGTCGGTGTTGTCGAGGCCCTTGCCCGCATAAAACTGAGCGCCGCCCGACGAGAACTGAATCATCACCGGAGCCTTGGCCGCCGCTGCCGCCTCGAGGCAGGCGTTGAC